AAGAGCACGGGGCATGCAAACTCTACTTTAGAGGTCAGTGACTTGAGTAACACAGTGACTTCATCGGCACAGTCAGCACTCACTGAGGGCAAACACTTCTGTCTTAGCACTGGAAAATTGGTATTTACTGATAATGGCAAGGGAGAAATGCTTTGTTCGGCCCCAGGCTGAGCATTGCTGCTATCTCCCAAGAGAAGGTGTCCCCCAGCAGTGATGGATAAGAAGTCATTTTCTGATGAGGATTTCTTCTCTCTCTGTTACTGTGACTGTTGTAGACATCTCTGATAAGCAGCTTAAGGCATCTCACTTACCTGTTCCAGTCCTGCCAACAAACGTAGGATTGGATTAAACTTTTATTACCTGCAGGAGAGTAAAACCCAGTAATCCTTTGCCAAATAGCATTTACATGTTATAGCGTGTGCTGGGGTGTGTTTACACTGGCTGAAATTTGCAGACCTGCCTCCAGATTTCCATGCCTTCTCCCCATCTGCCTGCCTGTGTGTATCCTGTCATGGGCCATATGTCAAGGGCCAGCAATATCCCTAAGGCATCCTGGCAGCACTAAGCCAGTACAGAAACACTCTGTGCACATGCTCAGCAAGGGCTGCAGGACCTTCTCAGGGCAGCTGGGAGGGAAATGCTCAACTGTGAAGATAATCTTGAGTTACTCTGCTGCTCTCGTCCTCCTTTATTTAATCCTCATGAAGCACAACTGGGTGAACTACCAACTCCAGTTAGCACAGGTGAAGGAAAGGACAGGATTCTGCAGCGGGGTATATGGGCAGGAGGCTGATCAGCAAATCTGGTGAGCACAGAGCAATGCACAGCCCCTTTTCTGTGCAGGGGGAAATGGATGAAGTATGTATCAATGTACATGCATTTTAGGGTATTAATTTTAGGGTTCTGTACCTCTTTGGAACATGCCTAAGCCAAAACAGTCTCTTGGTCTCTCTAGACAGCACCAGCCATTTTTCTTCAGGTTCAGAGCCTGGGACTGAATGTTCCCTTGTAATTAGTTGCAGATTGCATGGAATAGCTTCTCCCTGCTCCATAATTCTCTTGCGGTGATGACCTGTGCTGCTGCCTACCCCCAGGTTTGGGGAAGGCCCAGCCACGAGGGTAACACAAACCCCAGGCATCTCCCAACTGAGAGCACCTAAGTTTTGCAACCAAGGTGCAGGGAGCGGCAGAGGGACGATAGCCACACACTGCCTGCCCTGCCTGCAGAGCTCCAGAGTGGCCATGGCCAGCCCAGCTCGGCACCATACCAGCTGTGCAGAGCAAGGGAGGTTGCTAAACAGCTACTTAATGTCCTGGGCTCCCTTGAGGTTTTGTTTTCATCAGTTTTTAGCGTTCTGCAGAATTCTGTAAATGAAGCGTCGGTGGATTTTGGAGCAGAGATGGACAGAGATGCCCAACAGGCATCTGGCAGGATTGAAATTTTTGAAATATGTTTGAGAGCACAGCAGGAACATGTTGCTCTCCTCTGTCCAGCTCTGTCCTCTGCCCATACCATAGGAGAGCTGACTGGCTGCTGTGTCCCTCTCTAGGCAGACCCAGCTGTTTTACTGGTGTCCTCCCAACCCTAAAAGATTATGCCAAAAATAGGGCTAATTTCATCCTTCACTTTGGGGGGTGGTTTCGTTTTCCTTCCCTGTGGGGCTGTGGCAGAAGCAGTGTCTCTTGCACAGCACGTTTGGGAAAATGCCATCAGAGGCTGCTGTTGTTTGGGGTCCCTGTGCTCTGTCTGGCTTTCTGCTGTTATCTGCTCAGTGTCCTGAGGATTTGAAACCAACTTTCTGTAGTTACAGTAATAAGCTTTTTCTTTATTCCTAACAGCTCTTTTGTAACTTGAAAAACATAATTTTCTAGGTACTCGATTCCCTGGCCCTTGTGGGAATGCTGCTCAAAGCACCCAACTTGCCAAGATGACTGCTGTGAGCATATACTGCTCCTTTGGGCCCCAAAAGAGGAGTCCAGCCCTGTTTGCCTGCTGAAATGCTGAAGCAGCCCCCAGGCTCAGGCTGGCAGGATGCTGTTCTGGGGACAGGTCACATGGGACAGACAGCCAAAGTAAACAGAACCCTCTTGCCCTCCTTGTCCTTGCTGCCTGCACAGTCATTCCCATCAGCTGGAAGGGGATGTGAAGTGAATTTCCCTTCTGCTGAAGAAAACCAACAGTCTTTTCCATGGGTTTGTGGTTGTTGGGAAGAGCAAAAGAGCATTTGCCAAGTGGGACACTGAAGGAAGGGGCCAGGAAGTTGTATGTGTAGGGCAAAGAAGAAAAAACCCACGGCCTTTGTTGTAGTTGTTTCTTGCAATTATTTCTAATGCCAGCCTTGGGATGGGATTCAATTTTTGAGGTCACTGAAATTACCTGAAGAGCTAGTGTTGCTTTTAAAACTGTGGGAGCTGCAGACCTGTCTCCAGGCAGGACCAACCTGCACAGGGTGTGGGACCCTGCCGTGGTTCAGCCCTGGGACACAGGGTGTTTGGGGCTCTCCCATCCAGCTGTGCTGTTCCCCTGCAGTACATGTAGGCAGGCTATTGAACCAAGCCTACTCTTGCAGAAGTCCCTGAGTTCTAACATCTCCTTCCTGGCAACAAACCTCTGTGTTTTCCCTGGCAGTGTGTTTGTATGTTGGTGCAGCATGGGGGCTGGGGGGTTCAGGGTACCAAGAGGATGCCACTGCAGGAGGAGCACCCAGTTTCTCCTTCAACCATTAGGAGCAGATACTGTCTGCGCCAGCTCAATGACCCTGGCCTTTTTTTTAGTTGTATCTTAGAATTAAAAATGAATCGTGCCCTCATTCTCCTTCAGGCCCTGGCCACCAGGCTTCCCCTACCTGCCCCGTGTCTCAGTGCTTTCTCCCTCCAGGTTTTTGATTTGCTCTGCAATTGTGAACTGCTCCAACATTAGTGTGGTGGAACAGAGGAGCAGATCGGTGTCCCAGGGCAGTCTTTTTAGGTGCTTCTGGTTGTGCTGGATCCGGGACTGCTCTCACTTCTCACCCCAAATCCTTCTGCTACTGCTGCTAAAAATAATCCTGCCAGTCCAAAGGTTATTGATCGTAGGGGTGTGAGAATTGCACCTGAGTGCTGTTAGTCCCCGGGTCAGTACCTGGAAATGCAGAGGGTAGGGACACTCACCTGCCTCTTTCCAGCCCAGGACTGTGGCTCAGTGTCACAGCCAGCAATGTCCTGTACCCTGTCCCTGCTGCCTGTGGCTGGGTATTCTGTCATCCCTCCCCCATGCATGGGCTCCAGGCTTGGCGCTGGGGCTTGTGAGACATGAAGTTGAGGAGCAGGACATTCATTTTAGCACTGTGGCAGTCATGGTTTCTGCCAGTGCATCCTCCTCCTCCGTGCTGTGTCTGCAGCAGCTGAGGACGGCCATGACAGAGAGGGAACACACTCATCCTGGTGACCAGAGCAGTAGGATGACCACGGCTCTTGGGACAGGCAGAGGAGGAGGCTGCCAGGCAGTGATTCACAGTAGGATCCAGTTTTGGATGCTCTGTTTCAGCCTCTGGAAGAGCCTGTCTCACTCCCTCCCCACAAAGTCCATTCTCCCCTTGTTTTAACTAAAATTAGAGGGGGATGATGACCTCAATTTGGTTAACATGTTCACCCTGCTCCCATGCCAGCAGGTCCTGGTGCTGCTGGGATTTGGGTCACAGTGCCCAGGGAACATGCTCTGGACCTGCAGCCCCTCCTTGCAACGACTCGGGCTGCAGCTCCACGGTGCGGCACTGGCTCACACTGGTGACGACCATGAGGCAGCCAGGGAGGGTTAGTCCAGGGGGAACATTGCACAGAGGGAGCCTCATCCTCCTCATTAGTGCTTAGGGCAAATTCTTATTTTGGTTCCTCTGGGCTAAGCTGTAGCAAGCCATCAACCCTGAAGGGTTGAAGAGTGCAGAGTTATGCCTCAACTCCACTGCATGGTGCACATTCAGGCCATAGTGCAGCACCACTTTATTAGTGCCTCAAGTGGCTTGAACAAGACTGAGCATTTCTCTCTGTCTCCCCTTTGTCTGGACTCAAGAAGGAGCCCAGATTCCCTCCAGATGCCCAGGATGGCCACAGCATGAACCCAAATTCCTAGAACTGCCAAGAGAGTAGAGAGGCTCCTGTGCAGAAGCTGCTTGGAACAGCTGTGCTGGACAGCCTGGGGAGGAAACACAAATTTTTACGACTTTATTTAATAAGTTATTTATATAGTATTTCCTTGGTAACTGAAATACCACTTTTGTCCTCAGACACCCACCAGACCGGCTGAAGTGGGGCTGGGAACCCCAGCCTCCTGCAGCCTCCTGTCCCTGCTCACCTCTCAGGAACCCCATGGAGGTTTCCACTAGGGGAAGGGGGGAGAGTGTGCAAAAAAAAGTGTATTTATTTTCCTTTAATTACCAGACTAATGCAAAATGACAGGGCAGGGGGGCATCCTCCTAGTGCAGGGACCTGGGCTACACCCCCTGCTCTGGGCTGCAGCCGTGTGGGCAGTGCCTGTGGGCTCAGTGGGGCTGAGCACCGTGTGGGCAGCAGCTCCTGCGAGCTTGAGGTCACAAGGCACAGGGGAGCCTGAATGCATCAGTCTCTTTTGTGACCTCTGCACGAGGGGGATGTTACACCATGGGGCAGAGGGAGTGGTGGCGGCAGCTGGAGATCATGTGCTGGGCATGGCGTGGAGCTGAGAAGTGGCTGCTTTGCTTTCCCAGTGAGTGCACACGCTGCTTTTTTTTGCTGGTCTTATGCTGAAAAGCTGAGATTTATGTACTGTATGAAAAAAAACAAACACAACAAAACAGAAAAAAAGAAAAAATCCTAATGTTCCAAAATAAATGACAGTATATTTTGTACTTTGTAAAGTAATTAAAATGAAAAAAGAATAAAAAGTGAAACTTATGCTGTCTGCTTTTGTACTGATCAAACTGATGAAAATAAAGCAGAGCTTGGCATTGTCTATAAGATGTAACTCTAATTTCTTTTGCTTACAGCCACACTGGGCCTCACACCATTTAGGAAGGCCAGCAGACATCCCCAAGGCTCTCCAGTGTCCAGGACCTATCACCAGGTGTACTGTACCCCTACTGATGGTACCCACCACCATTTCCATCCTTCAGCTCTTCTCTGGGAGCCACAAACATGCCCCATCCTATTTCCTTAAAAGACAAAGGGAGATGCTGCTAGTGTATTTGCCAGACTTAGTTTTACCGGCTCACCGCAGGGTGCAAGATGCCCAGGAGCCTGGAGAGCTCCAGCAGAGATCCCGGTGAAGCATCCCCAGAGCCCTGCAGCCCTTTCATGGCTTACATTAGGGCAGTCACTGCTGGGTCCTGAGTCTCAGTCAGCAGCGTGGCTGCACAGCACCATTGCCACATGATTCTCTGCAAGGAGGAGCTGAAGAACCTGGCTGAAATGTGCAAGAAAAACAGTGAAATCAGGCGTATCATCACCCTCTCGCAGTTGTAACCATTTATAGTGGATGTTTAAAGGGAAGCAGCTCAACTGCATAAACTGTGCTCAAGAAAAGTATCTCCTTCTTAGCACAGTGTAACATATTTTTTACTCTTCCAGTCAAGTATAAGAGCCTTCATGTAAGAAAATAGTGTGGGATTGCTAATCTGAAATGCAGCCTTATTGCAGAGCACTGCCTTGAGGGTTTAATCCATTAATACACAAATAAATCAACACAGGCACTGCCATACAATCTCAGCACTGCCTGTCACTCCCTGCAAAAGCAGCTGTCATCTTAGGGTAAATAACAGGATTTAGGCTGTTAAACTGGTGTTCAGACCCTGAAGACACTGCACACACTGAGAGGCTTTTAGCATTTGAGTTACCTCACCTGCCCAGGTTCACACCTTTGAGCAGGAGGTGCTGGGCCACTGGGGGATGGGCAAGGCTCCAGTCCCTTGCAAAAAATGCTACAAAAATAGATTCTGATGAGTCATGATGAAGTAATATTATTTTAGGAGTTATTATTTTGAATGCTGCAGGCTAATTATTAGTTCTCTGAGTCATTTGTTTTTGAAGGATCCTGCAGAGAAAAGAATCTGTTGTAATGCAACAAGTGCCCAAGATAATCTTTGTCTTACAGGCACTCGTGTGTTTTATCCCCAGTTGGGCACTTTGCTGACAAGATGAGCCCAGTCTTGCTGTGCAGGGGCTCACGAGGTGGCCCAGGGGCCATGCTGAGGCCAGCTCTCCAGCAGGAAATTGCCAGCAGGATGGCAGGGTGTGGACAGGGCACTTGGGCTTGAACCTTTCATCCATCTCTCCTGCAGCTTCTTCAGCCCTCAGCCACTGCTGTGCTCGGAGCTGTACATGCACAGGGCTCTGTGCCCTTCTGGGCTATTTTAAACCAAACGTGCCGGCATGGTGCTGTTCAGAGAGTGAATTACTCGTGTAATCAATGCCAAATCAAGTAGGTTATTCTAGCTCTAATTTGAGCTGCTCCCCATGTGCATCCCTGGCCCCCACCCCCCTCGCTGCAGGTATATTTAGGAATGCAGGTGTATTTTGGGCTACTTTACCATACTTTGAAGGACAAAATGATACAAAGTTGCCTTGCAGTGCACACTGGTGGTGACCTGGGGTCACCCCAGCATGGCAGGGTCCCTCATCCTGTGGGAGGAGCACAAGCCATGCAGGTTGGGCCTGCCTTCAACAGGTAAGGGGTGGCAGGGTGAAGAGGGTATTTTCATTTTCTGAGCCAAGACCGAGCCTATCAGCAATGCTGGCAGCATCTCTGGGAGAACACACTTTAGAAGGGGGAAAAACTGCTGCACAGCAGCAGCCAGGATAGAGTGAGAATCTGTGAGAGACAACCATGCAGACACCAAGGTCAGTGCAGGAAAGGGAGGAGAGAGAAAAACCAGGATTAAGGATGAGCCTGGCAAGAAGAGAAAGGTATGGGAAAAGCACTTTTAGATTTCTTCTTATTCCTCAGCAATAAAATAATTTCTCCAATATGAATCTGTTGTGCTTATGATGGTAACGTGTAAGTGATGCCCTGTCCTTATCCCAACCCACATGCTTTCCTTTAGCTCTTCTCCCTCTGTCCTGTTGATGCAGGGGAGATGGTAACAGAGCAGCTTGGGCCGCACCTGACCAAGGTCGAATTGCCCCCCTGCCACTGTAACCAAAACAAAGGTGAGTGCTGGTCTTGCTGAACTGCAGACCCAGTGCCACTAACCTGGTTCCCACCAAGCAGGGTCTGAGAATCCCACAGACAGTGTAATGAAAGCGCAAATGCCCCCACTGCATTAAGCCATACAACACTTCTATTTAGGGCTCAAGACCTCACTGGCATCTCATTAACACGCAGAATTTTCAATTTATTGCACAGCAAGATTGCTACACAACAAGGTATGACATGGCACTAACTCATCCCAGCTCTGCAGAAGGTCCAGCCCCAAGATGCATTGGGTAACAGCTGTGCATGAGAGCAGCTGAGAGCCCAGCACTAACCAGCCCTCCTCAACAGCAACATCGTGACGGGAATTGTAACACCTTTCTTACAAGAGTTTTTGAATTTGTTTTCAATGCTTTAATAAGCCTCTTCATATTAAAAGGGCACAGCTACTTCCATGAGGCTAACAAGACATGCTTGGACAGCACAAGTTGCCCAAGTCACATGTAGAATCAGGTATAAATTAAAGCTAACTAAATGAGAATTCACAGCAGTGAAGGTCTACCAATTTTACAGGAGCTTTCTGCTTGTTCTGCCTCAACCCACCCAGCAACACCTGTTTCACAGGAACGTCGGTAAGAACTGAGAGATGTGTCTCTATTTCTGTGTACACTGGTCCACCTTTCCTGTATTTTATGAAAAGCCCTTCAAGACTTACTTCATCAAGGTAAAGTTTAAACCCTGAGTTTTGGTACAGACTTTCACCTAAGGAAGCCAAAATGTGAGTATGTGGTGTCCCTGGGGCCACAGATGCAGTGCCTGACTACAACAGTATGAGTTCTGCAGGTGTGAAGGTGGCTCAGCTGACAGAAGTTGTTCCACATCACTGTGAACCAAAATGCTGAAGTTTAAATGCAGAGTGCAAGACAGAGAGGCTCATGTATGAAGTCATGCTCAAGAATATTCCTATTACTACTGATAAAGACTTTATAATCACTTTATTTAAAACATATCAGCTTGGATATTGACAAAATAATTTGCACACTAGAAGTACCCCACAGAGAGAAAAGACAATTCTGCTTGATGTTTGGAGTGTTTCACAGGGGACAGTTTCCCATTCTTGGATGTGAAACTGGTAAGTGCCTGCATCCTATTTCCATCACCTTACTGCTAAGAAGGTACCAAGGAATGAGGCTCTGCTTCTCACTCATTAAGACTCCTTCCCCTGCTAGGCAATCCTGAAAACTCCGGCTAACTGCAACTGAGAGCTGCCATACCTCTGAAAACAGAAAGAGTGCAGGGACTCCCCCCAAAAAAATCAAAGACCGTGTTGTATGATCAGCACAAGGAGACAAAAGTACCCGAGGAGTAGTGAGCACTGCTGAGATCCATGCCTGAGCACCAAGTCAGCAGGTATCTGAGCAGGGACTTTGTTTCCAGCCTCCCTCCCATGATAGGCTAGATGGGCTTCTGTCACCATCTATCTGTCCTCCCACAGCCACAGCAGCGCAGACAGCCTGGGACTGATCTTTCCCTGCTGTCTTATTTAACAGTACTTTCCCCTGAAAACAGGTTCTCACTCTTCGAATGTGTTCCTCGGCTCTTCAGCCTTTAGTGCTGACACAGAAAGCCTGCAACAGCCCATGGACACACCACTGCCTTTAGGCCACCACGCTGTATCCAGCTGTGCATCCAGTTTCCGCATGGGCCAGCAGCCCAGGCACAGTGCAGCTGGGGGCGGCCACTCAGGACAGCTGTGATGGGCTTCAAGAGCCAGCAAAACCTCTCTTCCACATAAAAAACAGCTATAAAAAAAAAACCCTTCCCCTTGAGAAATAGTTTGGCTCTGCTCAACACTGACACCCCAGAGCTGGTGACAGGGAGTGTCCATAAATCAATGTCCTATGCTGTAGATTTCATGCCATGCCAGCCTTCCTTGAGGGAGATGCTCTTCATCCTCAGGCACAGGGAGGCTCACCAGCTTGGGGCTGGGCCTCAGATTCTCAGGGAGCTCATCATGAACCAGCCAGAACACTCTGCATTTCCACACTCCTCAAGGAATGTGCTTCCTTTCTGCAGCCAGGGCAGAGTGTTTCAACAATGCAGAGATGACAACACACCCAGGCACTGCTATGGCTGTCTCTGTTCACAATCACTTGGCTTCACAGAATGAGTCTTCCTTTCCAAGAAGCCCATCACCAAGTCCCTCCATCGCCCTGGCACGGTGCTGAGGTCCAGCAGCATTGCTAGGTAAAAGACTTGACCAAGCTTACCATATGATCAACTCCACAGGCCACATCCACCACCTCACCGGGTACAGTCACCTGGATGAGATACATGAGAATGGGTTATTTATCAAGCTAGTACTTTGCACCTGATATATACTATTTCTCAAGCTCTTCTGCTCAACATGCCAGCTGGTTTCACAGGGCCTTGTACCAATGGAAGTGCCAACTTGAAAACCCAGAAAGAACAAGATTTAGCACCAGGCATGCTTGCGCACTGAGCTGTGAAATACTCCTCTTTTTCCTCCACAGAAGCACATAAAGCTTTGGAAGGACAGGAGAGCTGGCTCACTAGCAGACTATGAGACTGTAGCCTCAGCCCATCTGTTCAGCAGCAGAAGCAGCATGACTGAACAGAGCATCTGCCCAAGTACCACAAGGATTTGCCTCTTCTCTCATCAGCAAGAACTGGAACAAGGCAAAGGCTCAACTCAGCCTAAGGCAGTTTGTGCTTTGACTAAGAGACCAACTCCTTACTCCTGAAATTACAGGCTCCTTCACTTAAAGCTGACCTCAAACTTGAGGAAAGCAGAGGCTAAAAAAGCAAGTTTTTCCTTAGAGCTAAGAGAGAGGACAGCTGGCCAATTCTTGGACAAGAGGAGGTCACAGACAAGGATCCTGGCACATTGCCATAGCACTGTGAGACAGGAGTTGGCTGTCTGAAGGAGCACAACCCCCAACATCCACACATAGGGAAACCTGGATGTGCCACACTTGGGGAATTCAGAAATTCCACTCAGCCACAGCAATGTGATTTTAGGCAAATGTTCCAGAGCTGGTCTGATTCTATTCATGTTTACAAGGAGGAGAAAACATATTACAGAAACACATCCACTGCAAGCTCAGACACATGAACAGGAACTCCAGAGTAGTCCCTCTGAGTGCCTACCTCCTCTCCTACTTGGCCTTCATAGAGACCAGGTACATCAGTTAGGCTGAACTCCAGAGCCAAGGACTCTTCTACATTCACTGAGTCTGGCTCTCAGAGCCATCTGAGGGAAGGGAGTAGAACTGGAAGTGCTATGCAACAGCTATGAAAACAGCTGAATAAGTAGACTAAAAGGTTTAATGAATACCTCCATCCCTACGGAGACTACACAAGGACCTCTGGAAAACAAAGCACTTCTACAGTCATCTTAGACTTCCAGTTCTTTCAGAATTACTCAACAAAACCACACAAAAAAACTAGCCAAAGAATATACTCTTGGCATTAATATCACAATCCTTACCCTCCATGGGAAATACTGGTCTTCCATTCTTCCAGTTCCCAGGCACCCTCTTAGATTCTTGCCCCATACAAACAGTTCTCCTCTGTCTATACAGGAGAAAAAAAATAATAGAAAAGAACAGAGACATTAAAAAGGACAAATTCTATTTGTGATGTTGGCAAATGTGGCTACAGTGCTTCTGGGAGTATACAGGGTTATACAAGCAGTATGACAGCCACCAATTTACTTCAAGGTACAATAAATGTACCTGTGTTTGGGGAAAATGCCTAATGAGCAGGACAAACAACAAGTTCTGTGCACAAGTCTTTGTTTCCCCCTCTTACAGCTATTGCTTTAGCATTTTATTCGAAGAAAGAGTACAGCAGAAGAAATTCCAGGGAATCATTTGAGAAATGAATCATTTGTGCTGGAAGTCAGACAATTGGAACTGATCCATATCAGCTATAAGCAGAGCAAATCCAGTAAGCAAGACAGTGAGACCTGTCCCAAGCCATCACCTGGGGACTGCTTATTCAGCTGCTTGACAGAAGTGACCTAACGACAGCTGGGGAAAAGCAAAAACTTGTGTTTAACAGAGTTAAAAGTTTTATGCTCCTCAGGAAAATATGTAGATCTTGGAAGTGTTTGGATCAGCCCCACTGCAGAGACAACCAAAGCACAATCTATAAAGTATGTATAATTTAATCAAAACATGGTTTCTAATACTTCTTGAACACTAAGGGGAGCCCAGTTACAAGCACCCTGCAACAAGACTGACAGTGTCACATACGCCGCTTGCCCCAAACGACACAGCACCGGCACTGAAGTGCCCCTCCACAAACACTCACTGTGGGTGTCTGTGCTGCTGCCCTCTGCTGCTTGATGTCAAATGACTTTCAAATTCCAAACCCTTCTAAGGCTGGGAACCCACACAGGGTGCACAGAGCAGTGTGATACCCTTTGCATATTAAATGTCCGGGTCTGCCCACATCGGGCTGTTAACTCAATTGGTCAGAAATGCCAAGAAACCCTGACATCCAGCTCCACTTAGACTCAGTTTTAATTTGTTCATTTATCATTTATAAATTCGTGCTGCTCCTAAAGTGCACAAATTCTGCACAGAGAAATGGAAAAACTTTCCAGGTTTCCTGTTTGAGAGAAGTTTTTTTGTTTGCTTTAGACAAATAACACTTTCTTAACTAATGCATAAGTTAGCACAGTATGTATGCCAGAAACCTGCTGCCTGCCCCCCCGCTGCATTCCGGTGTGCTTTCAGTTTCAAGAAAGATGGGTGCTTTTTTTGTGGTTTTTTTTTTTTTTTTCTTTTGGTTTGTCTTCTTTTCTGCCAAT